TAAGTTTTTTTTTATGTAGACAAAAAACAATTTATTCACTACAAAGAGTCAACTTTCTTTCAATGCATTTAATTGCACTTCCACTGGTGAGAACACCGAAACGAAGTTGCATCTTTATAGTGAGTAAGTTGCTTTTGTCTATATAAAAAAATTCTAATAAATATTATTATATATATATATATATATATATATATATATATATATATATATATATATACACCTAAACCACCAAACCTACCTAGGTTTCACCTAAACAGATCGTCAGGGAAAGTTTGGCTAACGAGGCATGATTTTTAGCTATCACCTATAAATATGTGTTTCTCTTTTGCTTCGTTAGCCAAGCTTTCCCTGACGATCCGTTTAGGTGAAACCTAGGTAGGTTTGTCTGGCTCACTAGGTGTATCTAGGTCTGCTCTACGATTGTATTGAGCTCTTTTGTTAGTTAGTTGTTACTCGTATCGGGGTTTTTTCTTTGGGCTTCAGACCTGCATCTGTGCGATTTTTTTGTCGGCAGAAGTTCATGTTTGTAGCTCTTTCTTTTTTTTAAAACCTTTTTTTTTCCCTCGAGATTGATTTGATTAGCAAATCAAAAATTCGAGGGTTTTTCGAAACGAGTCTAGTTATTATCTATATATATATATATATATATATATATATATATATATATATATATATATATATATATATATATATAAAGTGCGCAGGTATGCGGAAAATAGAAAAGAACACGTTGGGTGCATAATCCGGAGTTCCTTAGTATTTTTTGTTTTAAGAAGACAGTGCTCCATACAGAAGTAGAGCTTTATTATAATAATATTGTTTTGTTTAAAAGGAATCATATTTTTAAAAAAAAAATATATATATATATATATATATATATATATATATATATATATATATATATATATATGTATAGCGTCTGAACAAAACTAGAGTCGGATCGTCTACATCGAACTTTAAATAACATGAATTGTAAACAGATCGACAATTTGTATCACAAATTAAAATAACAGCTTTAGAACAAAAATCACACAATTTTATTCTTTCATTCCGACCGAGAGATGTGAATTTAGCGGAAAAATATTAGCGATTTAATATTGAAGCACATACACAAGGACACACACCCGCATACACATATATACACACATTTATTTCCTTCTGACCTCAGTAGGCCTATCTCCTGGGGGGGGGAGGATGCTTAGTCGGCAAAACAGCTTCCCATTTTGTTTAATTTAGAAAACTTTTGTTCGTGTTCAATATCCTAGTAACATGGCACAGTGGATAAAGGCGTTGGTTAGATCCAGTGACAGGACCCAAAGAGTGTGAGTTCAATACCTGGTTAAGGTGGGGGAGAACTTTCAGAGGGAAATTAATGGGAGATAACTTAAACATGAGAACGAAAATGGTGGATCTAGAACCGTCTAACCCAGTGAGCGAAAAAAAGGGTTCAGTTCGACATTCCAACCACCGAAGAAAGCCGGAGCATACAACGGCTGAAACGTTGTAATAAATATGGCGACGAAGATGAGAACAGTAGTTTGAATAATGTAAATAGTGTACATAATACCTCATCTCTGATATAATATAAAATAAATATCATTTTCAATTAATTTGGTGTAAGTATATATATAGCAATATATAAAATAACATTTTTCCGTAGATAATATATAGAATAAATGTTACTTTATATATATATATATATATATATATATATATATATATATATATATATATATATATATATATATATGCACACAGAAATCATAACAGACGCACATATCTATATATGTATATACGAGAAAAATATAGTTTTAATGTATTCTATATTTGTGGGTAAATGTGCTCAATATCAGTGATACAGCCTGAGTATATCTAAGAGTGTACACTGGGATCAACGTTAGATGACCCGAAGATTGCTTTCAAGTATGAAACAGACTAATGACATTCTTTTTACCTCAGTGTCCACACACAGAAACTCAAACACACACACACACACATGTTATATATAATAAATCGAAAATCTCTGTGAGACGCTTTTTCAATTAAAGGGACACAACTCTCTTGCTTTTAAAAATGTCGTCTTCTTCTATATAAATAAATGCGAATGTCAGTGAATCACACTTTTTTTAACTTTACTCCTAGTGGCCGCAGGCGAACATATCTTATCAGTTTGGAATCAGCCTGACTCCGATAGGGCGGCTTTTACGATTATATATATATATATATATATATATATATATATAGTTTTAAGTATGCTATATTCACGGGAAAATGTGACCTGTTTCTCAAGCATGGAACAGATTGTCGCCACTCGATTTTCTCCTCAGTGTCATATATTATATATATATATATATATATATATATATATTATTACTAGGACAAAATGTCACTTTTCCTCTTGCCATTCCAGCAAATAAGTCTCCTGGATATATATATATATATATATATATATATAGGTGAATTGTGTGTGAGTGTGATTCCGTGTGTGAGCTTGTCTGTGAGTGCGAGTGTTTGTGTGTGTGTGTTTGAGGCTGAATGTGTGTGTGTGTGTATGGGTGTGGGTGTCTGTCTGTGTGTGTGTGTGTGTGTCTGTGTGTGTGTGTGTGTGTGTGTGTGTGTGTGTGTGTGTGTGTGTGTGTGTGTGTGTGCGTGCGCGAAAGAGGAAGAGGGAGAGGAAGAGAATGAGAGATGGATAGATTTTATATTTGAATTTCGGTGAAGTGATATCTTGATGAACATTTTCCAATCAGGTTTGTCTGTTTACCATCAGATTCCTGTCGGCGTTTGAACTGAACCGACAAAGCGGACCGTCCCCGCCGACCGATCACCGGCCGATCTCACCCCCCCCACCGTCTGCTGCACCGGACCCCTCCCTTTCGCAGCCCTGAACCCCCGCCCCCACCATTTGCTATGCACCCGGCTCTTCACGTCCTCTGTTCTAACCATGCAGCTACATCCCCACTCCACACCTTGAATAAAACCACATTCGCATTCGATGCGGCTTAACTCAAGGTCTCTCTTCTTTGAACAGACAACCGTCTCAGTGGATATTGAGTCGAAATGAGAGAGAGAATATGAGCGAGAGGAAAACTCATACTAATACCTCTCTCTCTCTCTCTCTCTCTTTGTCTTTTTTTTCCCTCATACAGAAAAAAAGTTGAGATAGCTACCTATAACACATAAGTGGCCGATAGTCTGGACGAGTCGAAAACATATTCTCAAGGACCACAGTCTCATAAAATATTACCTGTAAAGTCAAGAAAAAAAACATTGTCATTTTTCTATCAACCGACTCAAAAATTTCTAGAAAATTGCAAGAAAATATGTTATCCATTTCGACAATCAAATTATTTTTTTTTATTTCAAAGCAGAAGATATCTCTCTCTTTCTCTCTCTCTTTATCTATCTATTTGTCTATCTATCTCATTATTCATATCTATCTATCTATCTATCTATCTATCTATCTATCTATCTATCTATCTATTAGTATGTGCACTGATGCCTGTTTCCCACTGATGCTTGTCTGTCTGTCTGTCTCTGCCCCCTCTCTCTCTCTTGATATATATATATATATATATATATATATATATATATATATATATATATACACGTGTGTATATATGTATATACATGTGCACAAACATACACACACAAATATATATGTATGTATGTATGTATGTATGTATGTATGTGAAAAGAATACATATTATATACCAGAACAATATTAGGAAAATTAATAACAAAGTAGAAAATCTTATTCTGTTCATATCTAGCTAGCTATCTACCAATCTCAGTCTGTTAATCTCTCTCTTTCAATCTTAGCCTGTTCATGTCTCTCTCTCAGTTGTTTTATCTATCTATCTATCTATCTATCTATCTATCTATCTATCTATCTTAGTCTGTTCTTCAAGCCCTGTCTGTTCATATCTCTCTCTTTTATATATATATATATATATATATATATATATATATATATATATATATATATATATATTTAATTACTTGTATTCAGTGTCTCTTGTAAATAGGAAATTCTCAAGCCTTCTTGCCTGAGTATTTTTCCCATGTAATTTCAGCCTTCTCCATGTAATACCCCTTAAAATTTCCTCCTTCCTGTCATGTTCTGTCTCTGGTGTTTTGAACTTTCATCATTATAACTGAATCCGTGACGATGAGACGCTACTTCATCTGTGAAGAAATTATTCAGCATTCACTTCCATATTGGAGACTAGATATTAATACACCAGATAAGTGTTATTGTTTGTTTTTCTATCTCTTAATAATTTGTTTTGTTTCTTGAAGGCAATTTTACTATTCCTATGTATCTTCTGAATTCTGTACCACTTTTTTCGTCGTCTTAGTTCATTACTTTTGCATCTGGGGGTTTATTATTTGTGCCAAATAAGAACGACCACACAATTCAAACCTTTATATATTTTATTCACTATCGGGTAACAACAGATGTAGAACATGGCCAATGGATTACTGATAGATTAATAGCGTTCGAAGAGAGAACATGTGAGAATGCCTGACCGCCATTTTGAAATACCTTTTCTTCTCTGTTATCCTAGAGAGTTCTGATCAATAGGCATAATTTGGTTCCCATCTAGGGAGCGAGTTAACTCCCATGTGATGACGTCCGTCTATCCCCGTAGACAGTTCTTTACGCCTTCGTTTTTTCTGTATGTGTCCCAGGAATTCCTGCAGTCTCTTTCTGACTGTTAGCATCCATTCTCTTGTAGATTTTTTTTTTCTCCGTAAAACTTTCTAGTTTTTGAATCTAGTTTCAGCATAGGTCGATAGAACCACATGTATGTTGCTTCACGTCTCTTTTTCGTGGGTAATGAAATTGTCCAGCATTCAACGGGATATTAATTAGATCTCATATAGCCACTCTGCACACGAAGGTCTTTTTTCTCGTTCGATTTTGCTCTCTCTACTTTTACTATATACAGACATTTTCTCTTTCTTAGTTACCTTCTAGCAGCAATCAGTCTTATGACAATACAGTGGGGAGGCACCAACTCTGGTACGATAACCGAAGTTAAGCAACGTCGAGCCTGGTCAGTACCTAGATGGGTGACCGTTTGGGAATACACGGGGCTGTAAGTTTGTATGTGCGGCTGGTGTAATGGATAACGGTTTGGAATTGGAAATCGGAGAGTCAAGTTCCAATTCCAGTCGGGTTCGTTATACTAACTTGAAAAAGGCATGAAATCACTATTTCTCCCCCAGCTATTAGTAGGACTTGTGTCATTAAAGAAAGAAAATCATCCCCACCAAATTCTTACAGACTTAAAATATTTCTTGGCTTTAAATAACCAACAAAAGGATGACAAGCCATAAAAAAAAAAAAAAAATCAATATAAATTTTATTAACGGCACAACGTTTCAGCCAAGTACACTGTAGTCATCATCAGGAGTCTATTGTTTGACTGATATGTGATATATTGGTTGTTGTGTTGTTTTTTCTTGTAATGTCTGTTTTTCCTTATTCATTTTTTATTCGGCGTTTCAATATCTTTTCTCCAAGTAAGGCGATAATGCCACTAAGACTCGAGAGGTTACTGAGAGTGAGAGAAAATGAGAAGACATTAGTGAGGAGAAAGGATAATAAAATAAATATTTTGAGGCTTTAAAGGTTGATAAACTGTAAAAAATCCAAGTCAGTCAATTAATTTACCAGCATTCTCTATATATATATATTTCAATCTAGTCTCCCCATCTAAAACTCCTTGGCCCTTATAGATCTCTACACATTCCTTTTTCTTTATTATCTGGCATTATTTACATTATTCAGACTGTTATCCTCATCTTAATTTGGCCCAGTGGATAAAGATATTGGTTAGATCCAGTGACTAGACCCAAAGAGTTGTGAGTTCAATACCAGGCCACAGCCGTGGTGAACGAAAATTTGGAGAGTTGAGTTAAAGGGAAATAACTGAGATATGGCACGTGGAAGTAGAACACTCTACCCCGGTGGACAAGATAAAAAGTTCAGTTCGAAATTCCAATCACCAGAAGAAGGCCGGATATTACAACGGCCGAAACGTTGTGAATATGGCAGTGAAGATGAGGATAACAGTCCGAATAATGTAAATAATGCAAGTAATCATAATACCTCATCTCAGAGATCCAATCACCAGAAGAAGGCCGGAGATTACAACGGCCTAAACGTTGTGAATATGTCAATGAAGATGAGGATAACAGTCCGAATGATGTAAATAATGCAAGTAATTATAATACCTCATCTCAGAGAACCAATCACCAGAAGAAGGCCGGACGGTACAACGGCCGAAACGTAGTGAATATGTCCAATGAAGATGAGGATAACAGTCCGAATGATGTAAATAATGCGAAAGTAAATAATGCAAGTAATTATAATACCTCATCTCAGAGAACCAATCACCAGAAGAAGGCCGGACGGTACAACGGCCGAAACGTAGTGAATATGTCAATGAAGATGAGGATATCAGTCCGAATGATGTAAATAATGCAAGTAATTATAATACCTCATCTCAGAGAACCAATCAACAGAAGAAGGCCGGACGGTACAACGGCCGAAACGTAGTGAATATGTCAATGAAGATGAGGATAACAGTCCGAATGATGTAAATAATGCAAGTAATTATAATACCTCATCTCAGAGAACCAATCAACAGAAGAAGGCCGGACGGTACAACGGCCGAAACGTTGTGAATATGTCAATGAAGATGAGGATAACAGTCCGAATGATGTAAATAATGCAAGTAATTATAATACCTCATCTCAGAGAACCAATCACCAGAAGAAGGCCGGACGGTACAACGGCCGAAACGTAGTGAATATGTCAATGAAGATGAGGATAACAGTCCGAATGATGTAAATAATGCAAGTAATTATAATACCTCATCTCAGAGAGCCAATCACCAGAAGAAGGCCGGACGGTACAACGGCCGAAACGTAGTGAATATGGCCATGAAGATGAGGATAACACTCCGAATGATGTAAATAATGCAAGTAATTATAATACCTCATCTCAGAGATCCAATCACCAGAAGAAGGCCGGAGATTAGAACGACCTAAACGTTGTGAATATGGCAATGAAGATGAGGATAACAGTCCGAATGATGTAAATAATGCAAGTAATTATAATACCTCATCTCAGAGATCCAATCACCAGAAGAAGGCCGTTGATTAGAACGGCCGAAACGTTGTGAATATGGCCATGAAAATGAGGATAACACTCCGAATGATGTAAATAATGCAAGTAATTATAATACCTCATCTCAGAGAACCAATCAACAGAAGAAGGCCGGACGGTACAACGGCCGAAACGTTGTGAATATGTCAATGAAGATGAGGATAACAGTCCGAATGATGTAAATAATGCAAGTAATTATAATACCTCATCTCAGAGAACCAATTACCAGAAGAAGGCCGGACGGTACAACGGCCGAAACGTAGTGAATATGTCAATGAAGATGAGGATAACAGTCCGAATGATGTAAATAATGCAAGTAATTATAATACCTCATCTCAGAGAGCCAATCACCAGAAGAAGGCCGGACGGTACAACGGCCGAAACGTAGTGAATATGGCCATGAAGATGAGGATAACAGTCCGAATGATGTAAATAATGCAAGTAATTATAATACCTCATCTCAGAGATCCAATCACCAGAAGAAGGCCGGAGATTAGAACGACCTAAACGTTGTGAATATGGCAATGAAGATGAGGATAACAGTCCGAATGATGTAAATAATGCAAGTAATTATAATACCTCATCTCAGAGATCCAATCACCAGAAGAAGGCCGTTGATTAGAACGGCCGAAACGTTGTGAATATGGCCATGAAAATGAGGATAACACTCCGAATGATGTAAATAATGCAAGTAATTATAATACCTCATCTCAGAGATCCAATCACCAGAAGAAGGCTGGAGATTAGAACGACCTCAACGTTGTGAATATGGCAATGAAGATGAGGATAACACTCCGAATGATGTAAATAATGCAAGTAATTATAATACCTCATCTCAGAGAACCAATCACCAGAAGAAGGCCGGACGGTACAACGGCCGAAACGTAGTGAATATGTCAATGAAGATGAGGATAACAGTCCGAATTATGTAAATAATGCAAGTAATTATAATACCTCATCTCAGAGATCCAATCACCAGAAGAAGGCCGGAGATTACAACGGCCGAAACGTTGTGAATATGGCAATGCAGATGAGGATAACAGTCCGAATAAATAATGCAAGTTATATGTAAATTGTCATACATTCTTTGTATAAATACTGAGCTGGTTTCTTGTTACCTTCTAAACAGTTTAGAATTGAAAGTTTTCCTTTTTTTTAAACTGTTTAGCAATCAAGGCTAGAGGACTTCAGTCTACACTATTATTTCACTCAGAGCAAGGAGCAGAAGAGAGGCATTAATGTCTTGCTCAAATATATTTGCGTGAAAGTGTATGCAGGAGGCAATACGGAAATTTGAACACGGCTTGACGATTTCAATTTTCGTGCACATAACGTTTATATCACCACAAATCCCTATTTTCCCTATAATCCCTATTTTTCCTATAATCCCTATTTTTTCTCTAATCCCTATTTTTCCTATAATCCCAATTTTTCCTATGATGCCCATTTTTACTATAACCCTATTTTACTATAATGACTATTTTCCCTATAATCCCTATATTTTCTATGATGTCCATTTTTACTATAACCCTATTTTTCCTATAATGCCTATTTCCCTATTTTTCTATGATGCCCTTTTTACCTATAATCCCTATTTTTCCGATAAAGCGTATTTTTCCTATGATGCCTATTTTTCCTATAATCCCTATTTTTCCTATAATATCCATTTTTCCTCTCATCTCCATTTTCCCAATAATCCCTATTTTCTTCCTATAATGTCAGTTTTCCCTATAATCCCTATTTTTTCCCTATAATCCCTATTTTTCTGTATTGTTTCTTTTAAAGGTTTCTATATCTACTCGGCGTTTGAAACAACTCCGATATTTCGACAGGTTCGTCGAATAAATCCGGGAATCGTTCTTTTTTATGGAATACATAATTTACCAGAAAACGACTGAATAAATATTTTACCTAATACGTAATGACAGAAATGCAGGAAAGTATTTCAACATCTAGATAACGAAAATAGAATTTATATGAATAAAATATATTTTAAATGATTTTTCTTTTCTTTTACGATGTTTCATTAAAAATTTTTGACTAATTTGCTTTTAATTCTATTGGCTGGTACATCATCAAATTTCTCTCCAATTTCTCAGTTTTCAAATCAGTTTTCGACATGGATCATGACTGTCATCATGTAGTATTGATCCCTATATCTATATTTATTAGATTGAGTCATACGTGATTTCACTTTTGGGGAAACAATTGCAATGATGAATATATTTTCGTAATCGTTCTTTAAATATATCATAACAGGCGATGAAAAATGTGTTGCATACAACAATGTTCAGTGCAAAAGGCTGTGGATTAGCTAAAAGAAATCCTCTCAATCGACCCCAAAATCTGAACACCATAAACAAAAGATAATGTTGTACATGTAGTTGGTATCGTCGGAGTATTATCCATTTAAATTTCTTAACTCGCAATAAAACATTAAATGCACATTTATATATCCAGCAGCTGCAACGTGTCCATAAAGTTTGCTCGAAAAGAGTTAAATATAAAAAATGTTCTCCTTCATGATAACTCAAAGTACAACAAGAATAAAAAATACGGTACAGTTACATTTTATTCAATTACACTGGTCAACACCATTTTGTTTTGTTTTGTTTTGTTTTACCGCATATCAACTTCAATGCTGACAAGATCTTTATTGCTGGTAATATTTCTTTCAAAAAAAGGATTGCTTGTAATTTTTTTTCCTTCAAAAATGTATTGCTGGTAATTTGTTTCTTCCAAAATGTATTGCTGGTAATAATGTATTACCGGTAATAATTATTTACAAAAATGTATCGTTGGTAATATGTTTTTCTTCAAAAAATGTATTGCTGGTAATAATGTTTTGCTGGTAATAATTATTTACAAAAATGTATTACTAGTAATAATTATTTACTAAAATGTATTGCTGATAATATTTTTTCCT